GTGTATCGATCGTAGCAGTGACTTATACGTATTATTTTAATTTTTTTTGTGCATCTATTACGTTAATTTTACTCTCATCGTGAATTTATTATTAATTTCCAGTGCAATAATTATTTTTTCACATTTTATTAATAACTGATAAAGACAGTTTTAACTATTAGCCGAAACGGCTCGACCGATTTTCGTGAAATTTTATATGCATATTCAGTAGGTCTGAAAGTCGGACAACATCTATTTTTCATCCTCCTAAATGTTAAGGGTGGTCCACACTTAAACAATTTTTTTTGGACCATCATCATACAAAAATACATACAACCCTAAATTTTCACCTTTCTACCACCAACCCCTATTTTTTATTCCGGTACGAAGTTCGCTGGGACAGATATATAGTAGGTATCTATAGATATTCAATATACGGATGGAGACATTGTAATGCTCCATACCTATATATAAATAATTATAAAAAAAGTGGCTTCAGACTTTCTCATTTCAGAACCAATACAATATCAAAAAAAAGAACAAGCGCAAGACACAATAGAACGTGACGTAAGCAGTATTCGAAAATTTAAAAAAATCGAAAATTGAATGCAGTAGAATGAAAACCGAGGTTCCCTAAGCGATGCGTGTGGAACTGAATTTTCTTTCATTGAATTTACGTCCTTCAAATTTGTTTCTTTAGCTTTTGTAAAATCGCTTTTTCGTTATATAGTGAAAAGCTCTTCCACTGTTTCCTTTTGTTTATTTGTTGTTAATTTTTCTTTGTATTCTAGATATAAATGCTGATTCATTATATTTACATAGTATTTAATACACCCGTGTGAAGCCGGGACGGGCCGCTAGTAAAAGATAAAGTTATTAGATTTATAAAAAGATTATAACTTAGATTGATTTAATCTAAGGATAATAATTCAAATACCAATTATTTATTATTCGGACAACATAGATCATAATGATCAGGGGGCCATTCGCCTAACGGAAATGCTTTGGAAAACGCTAACGCTTACGATTTCATTTTGTTATTTCTAGCCGCCTGAGGTTTTCAAATGCCTCGCGATCATTTTTTTTCTTTTGCATTGGTAATAACAATATTAAAAAAAAAGAGCGTGACGTATTTGAAAACCTTCGGCGGTCCGAAATAACAAAATAAAATCTAAAGCGTTTGCGTTTTCCAAAGCATTTCCGTTAGGCGAATGCCCCCCCCCCCCCCCCCCCCCACCCCCAGCTGATCAGCGCGTGTCGGCGCCGATCGGCTTTCATCGGCTTTCGGCTTTCTTTCTGTATACGGCCTAAGGAAAGGAAACCTTTTTTTAACGCGATTTTCGGTAAAACTACAACTCCTGTCGAAAAAGATATCAATGGCAAAATACTAGGTAATTGCCATTGATATTTTTTTTGATATTATCTCGAAGAGTAACCCTATATTCAATCGAAAAATCTCTCGTCAAAAAAACATGCACATGAAAACCTACAGTACGTTGAATATGAGAAAATTATTACATATCCTAAAACCGACGACAATCGAAGTGTCGAATCGCAATGATTTAATAAGCTGCATTTCAATAAATGATAAACAAAATATTAAGTATTCGGCATTGACAAAGGAATGAAAACTACAGCCCCATAAGTTGGCTGCCGGCATCCTCTATTCTTAAAAGCCCCGCGCTGGAGCCCACCTTTCAAGAGAGTGTTTTACAAGGCACGCTTTATGCGGACCGGGAACGGGCGATCAGATGTTGGATAAAAGCTTCTATCTTTATCTACCCCTGCCGGCAACGAGACAAAGGTGGCAAGGCACTCGACTTCTTAAAAATAATGCTAAATATACCTAACTACCTATCTATTATATCCACATTTCATGTCAACATAAATTATGATTATCCTTCTCATTGAAATAAAATTAAACTACAGTTATTGTCACGTCAAATACGTAGTAAATATGTCAAACTGTGAAATGGTTATTTTTTCTCCAGTATTTTAACTATGTATAGTCAAATTGAACTATCAATGAAACAACGCGAACTTAATGTTCTAATAAATGAAAGGGGAAAATACTTAGAAACGTGTTTTCTGGACCACAAATTACTGAATTCATAATAATTAAGTAAGTTTCCGTTAGAGATTAATGTTTATATAATGAGTTTATATTACAGATTTGTTTATTTTGAAACCTACCGCAGATTTTTGATGATTGATGATGATTCAAACAACGTGGCTCCAGTTTTAAATTGGTATTACTTCCGAGGCGGTCACTGTTTTTTATCACCTCTATGAGAATCTGACGACCTCCGCGGCCAAGTGGTTTGTACGCTCGGTTTCATGGTGTCGCCGACTCGAGAGCTCCCTGGTTCGAATCCCGGTGGGGGTAGATGTTTGTGTGATGAATACGAGCATTACTCCAGTCATGGATGTTTCATATGTAATTCTATTTAAATATACTTATATATGTATAGTATATGTATTCTATCCGTTACCCTAGTATCCCATAACACAAGCCTTACAGTGCTTACTTTGGGGCTAGGCTAATTGGAGTGAGTGTTGGAAATATTTATTTATTTAACTTCCGATACAATTTTATCTGGAGTTATATAATACTTTCATTTGAAATACTTGAGGATGCCACACAATTTTTTTATAAAAAATGTAACCGATACTGACTGTTCTATTAACGTACAGCTCAAAATGCTCAAACGAACTGAAAGGATTGCGCTGAAAGTTGGCACACATATAGCTATTATGATGTAGGAGTGCGCTAAGAAAGGATTACTCAAAAAACAGTCCACTGATACATAACACAAATTATTACAGATTTTGTAGATATTTGAATGGACACTCAAAAATCAGGTCAGCTGGGAATGAACGAAATCACCTAATTCCAACTAGGTCTTTTAGAACAGATGTTTTATTTTTTCAAATCGGAGCAGCAGGTATTGCCTGAGATTAGCGCGTTCAATTAAAAAAAATGAGCGAGCCTTACAGTAGTCGCGTATGATGTGTAACAATTGAAACCTCGCCTTATATTAGTAAAAAAGAAATAACACATAAATAATCAAATAGCGCGCGCTTTCGTGACTCCCTGTTACACACTTCCATCACATTTCACGAAATCACTCCCACAAATTGCAGGAAAGCGAGAGGAAAGATGTTACACATCAAACTCTTCAAAACATATTAGTATAGATGTAATCGCTGCATAAATACGAGTATGTCTTGATGAAATATACTCGCCATCGGGCGCGTAAAGGTACCGCGCCGCGGTCTCAGGAAAATAGGGTTATTGATGTATAGGTATTAAATGGCAGGTTCTATTAAGATGACTCCCTTTTCTTTGATGACTTCCGGATTGCGTGGCCTTGTTTACTTCTGTTTATTGTTGTTGTGCTTATCGAAGCCGCTTAGTAAACAACACATTATTATTTTTATCTAGACATCATTACCTTGATCACGTAAAAGGTTTATTTTATATCAGATGTATTGATTTTTTTAGCATTATATGTACTGTTTCATTATCAGTAGGTAAAAGTTCTAAGAGCTACTTCGATGATAAAAGGTGCTTTTAATTAACTTCGCTATACTTAAATTAAAGCATTATAGATAATAATAGCTCAAAGCACGATATCGTACGCATTATACATTTACATTTACATCGTATTATTTGTATGAGCTTGCTATAATATGTTAGGCCAGGGCCTATAATAATATTATTGACAGCAAAAAAATTCGGAACAGGATAAAATCCATACTAAAAAGTAAACAGAATAAAAAAAGGGAACAATAAAGAAGAAAAACGGGTGGGGTCAACTTTTAAGGGGTGTAAACCTTTTTTTAACGCGTATTTTGGTAAAACTACAACTCCTGTCGAAAAAAAAGCAATGGAAAAATTCTAGGTAATCAAAAGATCTACAGATTTTGTATTTACACTTTATTCACATAACCTAAAAATATATGCGATAAATCATAACATAACCGACTCTTTGGATTTTTTATAAATTATTATCTCCCACATAAACTTTATTTTTTGACGAAACATGGCGAAAACTTTCAAACACGCTGTTATCGTTTTAATAGGAAGTATTTATTTTTATTATTTATTTTGATATTATCTCGAAAAGTAACCTCATTCAATCGAATAATCACACGTCTAAAAAAATGCTGTTAAAAAAGTTGTGCGCTGTTAGTTAATTGGAACGTCAACTTTCTATTGGTATACAAAAAATAAAAATTACTATAGAAAATCTCAGAAAATGCAAAGCGTCATAAACGCGAAAAACTTCTTTTAATTGCTTACAATTTTACCATTGAATTTTGTCAATGGGAGTTGTGGTTGTCACGAAAATCGCTATAAACCGTTTTCCCCATTATAAACTTCCGTAGATTTATACATCTTATAACTACATATTTAGGTTTACCAAATTGAAACATTTTCAATTTGTTTTATGAGAATTCAACATTATACTCCGAAAAGCACATCCGTTATGTTGTTACAAAATAAAAACAGGCGCATTAATAATGAGTAAATTACATCCATTTAATCTGCAGTAATAAAGAAAATCGCCGCTGCCGCTGAGGCGTGACATACGGTGATGAAAGCTGAGAGGTAAGAAAAGAAAAGAGAAAAACGAACCTTGAACAAGAAGTTTATGTATTATAGAAACCATGTGTTTAATTATTATGTAAGTATAGAAACTATATTTATGGGCTGGCTATCCAGAGTAATGAAACTAAGAAAATAGTTTTTATTCTGAGCTAATATGATGGAAATTGAAAACTGATCATCTAAAAAATAACCAATCCCAGATAGTACATTTACCCTTTCGTATCGATTCGTGCGTATTCTTATGAATGATTATTAAAATTAACGCCCTGAATCAGAACAATCACTTATTAAGCGTGACCATGTCTAGTGGCTAAACGACTAATTTTAAATTATCTAAAATTGTATCGTTAAATTTTTTATCCTTGGTAATAGAAGTTTTCTAAATTATACATATTCTTTAACTTACCTCCAGCCTCCAGGGGGGGATTCTGAGCTGTTGTCCTTCAGTTGAGTGGCGCTCGCACTTTGTAGGTTGGGGACATTCATGCTGAAATAATATTTTCCATCAGACCAAGTATTGCTTAACTAGATTTGGTGGAAACTAAGAATGGCAGTCATTATTAGGTATTTGGAACTTTTATTAATTATCTTAAACATGCAATCATACCCATACTCGCGCTATGCCTTCCCAAACTGGGAAAGAACTCCCACGCCACGGTGAAAGAACTCTGGAAACCTTGCTCGTCAAAGTAGCATCTATTTTAAGTGGGGAGTTCACTCTAGGCGCCAAGTAGTAAAGGGCGATAAAATACAAATACGAGAAGCTTTCTAGCGGAATGAATATACCGACGAATTGAGACGAGGAGGATTTTGACTTCGACTAAATAATGGAGCGCCTGGGGGTTTATACCTCGGATTTTTGCAACAGTCAATGAAATTAAAAAAATCTAAATGGAATGTTCAGCTAATTATACACATAAAAAAGTTTACCTATTAAAAAATTGTAATCTTGTTTTTGGAGTTTACTCCTAAAGAATCGATTTGCATATATAAGGGGCCCGGTATGAGAAAAATGTGAGGAGTAAAATCTATCGATGAATGACCTCGTTACGTTTTTGGTGCGCATCCTATGTCGCGCAACTTTGACAAACAAAGATGACGGATTGACATTAATAAAATTTTTAAAATCTGAACTGAATTTAGATATTTTTTCTGATAGAGCGATTGGGGGCAACGAGGTATGGTACAACCATTGATGCGGTATTTTCAAGATTCGTGAACCACGTATCTACGAAGGTCCATGTGTCTTATTTTAGTTACCATAAACCACTTGTCACTGTAATTAATAATGCAGACAATGTTGATTTAATTAATATTTAAAAAAATGATAATAGTCTGATACTAATAATTACATAATTTATCAACATTCCTAATGATATATTTATGCACATCTGAAATTGACTGTTGTAAAAAGTTTAATGTAAAATATTTCGTCGATTAGTTATAATAAATGTACCTATATGAAATGAATAAATATATATTTATATATTAATTTCATTAATTTGTTAATTTACCCTTTCATACAGTATCAATCTTTTTTAAGTTATATAAACTCTTTTTGCGTCTGGTTAGACTATAAAATTTAAGGAGTAAACTCCAGTCGTGCGTCGGAGCAGACACACAATTTTTTTTTAATGAGTGTGCCTTGCGGTAGTGTCATATGATTTGTACCTACTTGGTGTATAATTTTCGTTACTTTCATTTCACTAGCCGCTTTTAATATATGAAACTCCTCTTCTTTTTAGGGGTTCCGAAGAAGAAGACTCCACTAATGTCCGTCTGTCAGTTTGTCACCAGGCTGTTTATTTAAAGCTGTAAGTGAATTACGAAATATCCTACAATAAACTCAACCAAGGCCGTTTAATTTACATTCCCAACTAGCAACATCGCAATTAAATAATAAATTATAGATTAGAATAGACTCACGAGTTTGTAGTAAAAAAAATTGGAGGGCAGAACTTACTATTATTTAAGAGTAAAAATTTTAGGAAAATATTTTGTATATTTCTGTCAGACGTGTGATTGTCGATGGTTTATTGTAAAACTTTATTCCTATTTCTCCGCTTGGTAAGTAATTTGGTTAAAAACCTTCACTTAATTATTATATGGTCAATGCAATAATAGATAAATTAATAGCTAAAGATCAATTCAAGTAAAAATCTCAACCAATTTATTATTTGATTGCGATATTGCTAGTTGGGAATGTAAATTAAACGGCCTTGGTTGACTTCATTGTAGGATATTTCGTAATTTATTTACTGCTTTAAATAAACAGCCTGGTGACAGACAGACGGACATTAGTGGGATCTTCTTCTTCGGAACCCTAAGAAGAAGAGGAATGTTTCATATATTAAAAGCGGCTAGTGAAATTAAAGTGACGGAAAATTATACAACACGTAGGTACAAATCATAAGACACTACCGCAAGGCACACTCATTAAAAAAAACAAGATCACCATTTTTTAATAGGTAATTTTTTTAAATGTATAATTAGCTGAACATCCAAAATTTTGGACCGGTGGTAGTTTACGGTAGTTAGGGTCAAATAAATAAACTCAAAATTACAAAAAAGAATTTTAAATATAATACTTTATTAACTTTTAAGTAATAAATTCATACATAGACAATAAAACTTTAAAAATCGAACAATGAAATAACTGAACGCTCAATAAAAGTCTTTCGAAGGTAGCTCGACAAAATTAAATAAAAATTTGATTACGACGACGTAGCCTGTAAAGGCTACGAAACGTGAATAAATAAATAAAGTTTCGTGCATTAACCCGTAAAAAACTAGTTTTATTTAATGAGTGATGTGCGTGAAAACCTAAGAAACAAATATACTATGTACTATTTTGTGTACTATCGACCAAAGTGATACATGTATCAATTTGGTCGATTACATACAGGTTTTCTTCTTTAGAGAAAACGTAATTGCACTTAGGACCTTCTAAAAACAAAGAAACTGTAATTATATGGATCAAAGATCGTCGAAATTTCAATGATGAAAGCGCGAAAGCGAGTCTGCATTTTTAAATGGTTTTAAGAATATATTATGGTGGGTCAGGAATGAAATTGGATGATAGTACATACTTCCACACCCTTTATCCCTTGCGGTCGGTAGTAAGGTTGACAACTTGAGTCTATAAATGTGAATATGCCTCGCGCGTTGATTTTTTTCTTTATTGGGACACCAACAGTTACTACATCAAAACATCTTATTTAATACAATTTTAAATTCAGTGATATATTGCGTAGTAACCACTTATAGGCGAATTCAGCATGCATTACATTAAGCTTAAGCAGATACTATTTCTTTAGAATTAGGTGTGTATGTATGTGTGTGCGTGGAAAACATCTTATTTAATACAATTTTAAATTCAGTGATATAATGCGTAGTAACCACTTATAGGCGAATTCAGCATGCATTACATTAAGCTTAAGCAGATACTATTTCTTTAGAATTAGGTGTGTATGTATGTGTGTGCGTGGGTGTGTGTGTGTGCAATCTGTGTTATTATTTATTTGATAGAGGCACTTAATGCACTGAAAAGTTGTTGTTGTTGCTGTTGCATCCTGTATCGTCTTTTACTCCCAGGTGAACATGTAGGAGTATATCAAACAAAAACCGGGCAAGCTGCTGGATCGCTAAAGCAAACTATTATTAAATTGATTGTTAATAGCCCTTTACTAATTGGGTAAAGCCTCGCGTCAAATTTGTGTTCACAACGCCTTATTTACTTAAATATCAATGCACATTTAATTTCTTAGACTTTCTTGATAATAATTCAAATAGTAGAAAAGATTTGAACACCTTTGTTTTTCGGGTGACTATTCCTCCAATTCATACACCCAGGAGAAGCCAAAATTAGCTTAACCTTACAACAAGGCAATATTTAATGAGTATAGTAGGTAAGTACACTCATGTACACTTCTAAAAAATTAGCTTTAGTCTATTCGTATTTTTCGTTGCAGAATCAAGAATCTGGGGCCCAATTCTCGCGGCATAGATATTATATCACCTTCGATATATATCGAATGATCTGGCTTTTATCGAAGGAAAACCTTTTTGCCATATTCTCACCATGTCGCAATAGATATTTATCTACGGATGATCAGTAGACATACATCGACTGGTAAAGAGCCTTCGATATATTTAATATCTATGGATCTTGGCATGTCAATCTTATTATTTCCACTTTTTTTACCTATTATTTATTGTGTTGTCGTGTGTCTTTGCCAATTATTGTTACCTCAAGACGTTGTTAACTACTTTCATAAATAATTAGTAAATAAAGAAGTAGGTAAATAATGGTGTCGATTCTGGCGTGATTCTCTAAAGTTAAAACTAAATTTAATATCAGTCTCTCTTTTTCATTCTGTATAGAGAATGACAGGGAAACACTGTTGTCAAGTTTAAGTTTAGATTTAGAGAATCGTGCCAGAATCGACACCAGTTTATATTAACGATGGATGAGTTGATTCATGTTTTCGTCAATGATTTAATAAATGACGTGATTGCTGCTGCTGTGCTAAGGCGCCGCCGTTGTGAGAGCAAGAGGGCCCATTTGAAATGAGGGACGCCGACTTCATAAAAAAATTACGTTTAAACAAAGATTTGGTTAGAAATCTTTAAAGTTATGAATGACATTGGTATCGATTCTGACACAATTCTCTAAACTTAGAACTAAATTTAACATCAGTCTCTCCTTTTCATTCTGTATGGAGAATGACAAGGATACACTGTTGTCAAATTTACGTTTAGGTTTAGAGAATCATGCCAGAATCGACACCATTTTCTTATTGACGATACGGAGTTTTGGCGGGATTTCTGCGAGTGCGGTTGGCATCTTATTTTAATTATTCTAAAATTCGTTCATAGTGGATATTGTGAAATAAAATTGGTGTGATTTGGTGTTACAACCGTCTGCGCAACTGAAGAATTAGTGGAATCTTTAAAATACACGCTATTCCGGTCAAGTGGACTCGAGAACTTTATTGTAGTGTTGAATACCTCACAGAAGCTTAGAGAAAAAGCCAACTCCATAAATTTCGTGCCAAACACTCCAAGAAACATTAGAATGCGTCACACCGACATTCGAATGTAAAAAAAAGAAGATTGATATAACTAAAGACTAGGCTTTATGGGCATTGTTCCATTTGCCTTCCCTGAAAAGGGAGAATCTTAAATAATATTGACGTTTCATTATACATAACGTCGAAATTATAAACGCATACAATTTAGGTGAAGTTGAGATTTCTTATACTCAAAAAATGTATACTCATATTTAATATGAATGGAATTCATAAAATATCATTTTGTTGCTTGTAAAATTCTGCTCTAATTTATTATTATTTTATATAGACTATGATGTTAACTTAATCGAGAAAAACGGAACGCATTCGGCAGTGAAAGAATATCTACGATAGATATAATATCATTGGAATATCGAAAATCCACGAGAATAGCATTTTTTACCATCAGTAGATATTTTCAATAGATATCCCTACTTTCGATATTATCTCGAAGCCGATATAATATCTACGCCGCGAGAATTGGGCCCCTGGGCGCCTAAATTCCACTATTGTTACAGTGCTGGCAATGGACATTAACGCGACACCTGATAAACACGTATGCATAAAGAATATTCTATACTCCATAATATTGAACAAAGTTTTACCGAAAACTGTAAACTATCATACAGAATCCTGTGATTCCTGTACCAAGTGGATTATTGTGTAGTATTTTTTTAAATATAAACTAAGTATCATATACAAAATTCGAAACTTACATTTTTTTGCTGGCCACCGATGGCTCCACAATCAGAGGTAGTCCACAATACGAGTAACCTGACAAAAATTTTTTTTTATTAATGTTAGTCCACGTAGATCCCTTTACCTGCGGTCTGGGCCTCGACATCATAGACTGTTTCCTTTGCGCAGGTAATATTATTATTATAGAAATATAAAAACTACACGTCTGAGCTATTTTTAAGTAAAACCTGCAGTAGTCTTTCCAGAGCTAGTAAAATGCATTAAAAAATTGTTTTTCCTGGAACTAAACTTTAAAGAAACTCAACTACTTGTAATGCTCTGATTTTATGAAAATAGGTAATAACTTATTTTGACGTTAGCGCGTTCGGTCTGCGATCGTGATAGTTTAGCAACTTTTACATTGATCTGATATATGATGGGTAATCAAAAAATATTTTCTCCAGCTCCTTCGTGATTCGGAGAGCACGTTAAGCCGCTTGCCCCGGCTGCATCTGCAGTTGTTAGCACCCAAAGAACCGCATTGTGTCCGCGCGGCGGCTAATGACCCAAAATGCCTATTCCATACATAGGGAACAGAACACCTATGTCCCAGTAGTGGGTACAGTAATAGGATACTATTTGATGCTCTTAAATCGGTTTAGCAGATATAATTCTTGGAACCAACTTAATTCAGCGCCACCGCCCGTCTGAATCTATCTAAGCGACAAAGAAAGCTCTCGTACGCCCCGAAGATTTCAAAGAATTCAGTCTAGCCCTTTAGTAATTTAATAACATACCTATAAGTACACAAAATAAATACTCTATTCCATGTCTTAGAAAGAAATATTGATAACATCAAAAGTGAAGTGTCTACATTAAAATACAAAATTTACTTAGGCTTACCGTGTAATTTATCTATTGCGCGATCTGCTGCTGACTGGTCAGGAAAGTCAACGAAGGCATAGCCACCTCTTTTCACAGATATATCGGCTACAGTTAGGTTTTGTTCTGCGAAGAGCTGTCTCACGGCTGCTTCGTCGGCTTCTATGGGGAGGTTACCAATGTATAATTTGTTCATAGCAGAGACAGTCTTTAGCTGTTCACTCATGTTGAGATTTTTCGAGAAAACCACACAAATCCTGTTCTATTGCTTTAAAAGTTGGACAAGTCAGGGTGAGCTAGTCAGTCGGATGTCTTTTGTCTAATGATTGACGTGCGGAAAGTTTCGAACTTTATTTTTTTTATTTGCATCTCGATGGCCATGTATTTGCAATTTGTTGACAAAAAAGGGTAGATATAGGAATCTTTATTCTGAAGGCAATAAATCATAAATTATTATGACCGTTATGTATGGATTACGGATGGCATGAGACACGATCATGGACCTAAAAAATGGAATATCAACCCATAGCATTGAGATTTAAATTACACCATGGGCGGATAAAACACATTCAATTTGTAAATAAATATATAGGACTACAAAGTTACATTTGCAGTTAATGAATCAGTGTATGTGTTATATAAATATTGTACTATATAATAGGTAGGTGTAGATACGAGTAAGTGGTTGCTTTCCAATTACAGCATTATAGCGCATTATGCGGCATAATGCTTAACGTTGAGTGTTCCAACTACAGCAACGCTTCGCACAATTGAGCACTCTCAAAAGTGATGCTTTCGTGTGATGCGTGCAATCGTACCAACTTAGAGACAGAAAATTAACAAGTGTTTTTTCTTTAAGTTGGCATTGATCGAAATGTTTTATTTATATGTTATCGTTAGTAATATTATTTATTGTTGAAAATTTATTAAAGCTTTCGTTTCATTAAATAGTTTTTTTTTTAAATAATCAAAGTTCATTCACACTGTTAAAAAATAAATATAAGTATGGATGAAGGTACAAACATTGACTTTTTTTTTCAACACTGAACTTAGCGCACTCTGCTGGTGCATTTGAAAACTAATTCACGTTCCAATTAGCATCAGCATAATTGGGCATTGTGCGGCACTGAGTCGCATTATGCTCTGTAATTGGAAAGCAACCAGTATCTAACGATATATGCTGCTTAAAAGTAAAATTGAAATCCCATATATTATTTATATTTTAGAATAGAACGCGAATCGAATAGTTTTAGAGTTCGAATCAATTTGTATTTGTTTTCACCGTAAGATGGAGCTGTATAGAAGAAAGAAATAATGTATGTAGTTAGTCCTCGAAATGCCAGTTGGTTTTCGGGCATTTATATAGTTGTTGAACGTTGATTGGATAATTCTGTGGTATTACGTTGATTTCGTACCTTAAAGGACAATGTGAAAATTGGCCTAAGAACCAACACCAATTTGGCATTTATGATAATTCTTAGAATATTATTTGCGATAATTATCAGTATTTAGATTGTGATGGACACTTCCAGTTAAATAAGCTAAATTAAAAAGTTAATAAATAATCTGAGACAATAAATACCATTTTCTGTGTATAATCTATATTGCGCTGCAAACAAAAAACACTTTCTTCCTAATGCCGGCACTTCACTTGGCTATTCGTATTTGCTATTTAAAAACATGACATCAGTCTGTTCTTTTCATTCCTTATTAAGCATGACAAGAACAAACTGTTATCAAGTGAAGGGCCGGCATAAACTTGATACTGTTTGCTTTCCAATTACAGAGCATAATGCGACTCAGTGCCGCACAATGCCCAATTATGCTGATGCTTAATTGGAACGTGAATTAGTTTTCAAATGCACCAGCAGAGTGCGCTAAGTTCAGTGTTGAAAAAAAAGTCAATGTTTGTACTTTCATCCATACTTATATTTATTTTTTAACAGTTTGAATGAACTTTGATTATTTAAAAAGAACTATTTAATGAAACGAAAGCTTTAATAAATTTTCAACAATAAATAATATTACAAACGATAACATATAAATAAAACATTTCGATCAATGCCAACTTAAAGAAAAAACACTTGTTAATTTTCTGTCTCTAAGTTGGTACGATTACACGCATCACACGAAAGCATCACTTTTGAGAGTGCTCAATTGTGCGAAGCGTTGCTGTAATTGGAACACTCAACGTTAAGCATTATGCCGCATAATGCGCTATAATGCTGTAATTGGAAAGCAACCACTCTGTGGTTGTGGTGCAGGCAGTTTGCATTTGTAGTAATCTGTGGCATTCGTGCATCTCGTCAAAGAGTACTTTTTATATACGGAAAATTCTCGTTCGGATTACCTGTTGTGTGTGTTTATTTGCGATTGTTTTTCCTTTAATTTAACTATTACTATTTCGGCTATCTAATATGCCATCGAAGTTAACAAAGAGGAGAGACCTTATTACCAAGTGCTAGTGAACCTGTGCCACAACATCCTGAGAGGATCATACTGCCAAATTATTCAAGAGCACCATTCACGCTGCATATTAACACAATATACATGTGTTAAACAAATAAATACAATATGATATAATTATGTGAAAAATAGTCAATAAATAATAAGAAGCAAAACTATTGTTTTTATTTTATTCATGATTCCTACCTAACCAAGTTCTTCCTAATAGATGTTCTTTAAAATCGCACCGAATAAAATGAATTAGTTGTAATATTAATTTACTTCATACTGAGTTCATACTAAGTTCATAGGTTGACCTATGTTTCAGTGAATATTAAACATAACCTCAAAAAAATTTTAGTTTTCCTAATAATTTAAGTTTTCAGAAGTGTCCGTCAATAATCTTTGTTTTTACAGTCATTTACTTGCGATTTCGAACCTAGAAAATAATATTTCATGATTGTTGGTTCTTAGGCTAACTATGTATGGACGCAGAACAATGTCCTTTGGTATTTTCGTTTATAATTTCTATTGCTATTATTACTTCGATGATTGGATGGATTAATCATCGGATTACTTTTGACGTGACAACGTCTTAAATTAGGTTGCGGCTGGGAGTCACTTATGAAAAAGTGTAACGCTCGGTAACGTTACGATGAGTCTCTCGTGTTAAGTTTAAGTTTACATGTACAATGTTTTAGTAAACAAAATATATTTCTATAGTTAAAATTTGTGCAATTCTTATTTTCATTCAATTCCTTGTTCCTATTGTGCAATTTAATTATATTCATATCAATAAATATTCTACCGAGAAAAAGACGTTGTCACGTAAAATCTTCGCCCGTAAAACCGACTTTACAGGCAACCATTTTTATTATTTGCCAACAATGTGGACGTTGTTTGGATAATTTTAAAATACAAATATTATTAGTTCGTATACATTATTTAGGAACATTTTACCATTAGAATTTAGTACCATGCTAGGTATTACCATTGACGACTGATCGATGTTGGGTTTGGGAACAAAACAATGAGTTCTTCTTAATCCTTTATTTTCAATTAACTATTAGTCAAAAACTTACATATTTTTATGTAGTAGTGTTCCCTATGAAAGTAATCTATATATATATAAATGAAACCCGTTTTCCGTTGTCACGACTTAACATGAAAACGGCTTGACCGATTTGGCTGAATTTTTTTTTGTAGTTTTCTAATACTCTGTACAAGGTTCTTACGGAAAAAAATATAAAGAAAATCTCTCAGAAAGATTGAAAAATATAACATAACGAATGTCAACGCCATTCAATTTAAAACAAAAAAATCTGTGGTAATCTGTGACACCACATCGATAACAGCGCTGACAAATGTCAACGTCATTCAATTAAAACAAAAAAAATCTGTGGTAATCTGTGACAACACATCCATAACCGCGCTAACAATGAATAGGTACTCATATATAAGATAGGTCAGCTATACAAAATAAAGTAGTGCATCAAAGCTACGCTAAGGCGGTACGAAGTTCGCCGGGTCAGCTAGTTATTAATAATTTATACTTTGATTATTTAATCAAAGCATTACTTATTATTCAAATCCTATTATGACCTATTCTGGATTACTTTTGTATTTTTATTTATAATGTTGTATGTAACTTAGTAGTCATTTTATTACTCCTTTGTTATATAGTAAAAAAAAATGTGTGCGTGTACTAGTGTACACACGTAAGAAGTGAAACTTCTTTATGGCCTTATTTTTTTTGAAAAATTATCTACATGCAACTTTCCAGAAATATATACAGGGTGAAATTGAATGTTTTAATGAAACTTTGTGGGATTGTTGGGTTACGTATATAGAGTATCTCTGAATTTTTTAGGATTTTTTAAAAATGATTTAAAATAAAATTCCTTTTTTTTTTGTTATATTTTAAGTCCTTTCCTCCTTTTGGGTACTAAATAATTATTCTTTTTAAACACGCATACAGAGTAAGTAAAAAACAACTAATAAGCACTACTAAAAAAAACGTAAAAACAGAAGACGAGCGGCCGGGAGCAATGACCGCTCCCGCCCGTTGAATCGGTTGAATACCTACCTATGCGTTGAATACCTGCAAAGCGCAGTGAGCGAGCGCAGTGTCAAGTTTATAAACCGCGCGTGCATATCTTTTAAATTTGTGACAAGAGAATATTTGCAAATAATGCCTTGATTAGTTCTTGTTCTGTGGCCTCAATATAAGAAGTTGGATATGGTGTGTTGTTATTGTAGTATCACGGAATACTCAGCAGAGCCACAAGGCTTTACGAAAGTAGGTTTAGTGATTGATTGTGTTTACAAAGTGTATACGGGAAGTTAAAGTGAAAAAAATTAATAGGTTCATCGGTCTCATAAGTACTTTTGAATACCTGGTTATAAATTTTATTCTGACCCAAGTATTGAACATTTGCCTATTTCTAATCGTGACAAAATTATTATTAACTTTTAAAGTTTTTCTCTGCTTAAGAGAAGATGACATTTGTGCTTATTATTTCAATAAAGGCATAAGACGACTTTATTGTATTGTGTGGAATCAAAGGAGTCAGCTGAACTCTGTGTAGAGGTACCTACTCACTCAACGGCTGGCGGGCGCGGTCGGTCGTTGACCCGCGGTGGAATTTTAATGTTTTTCCATTTTTTAGAAGTGCTTATATATTAGTTATTTTTCACTGGATATGTAAGTTTGTTTGTTTAAAATGAATAACTACTCAAAAGGAGGAAAGGACATAAAAATACACAAATTATAAATAAATA